TGATAGGTGTGGAAACCCGCACACGATGGGTGACAGCGAACAGCATCCTTACGTATAGCACCAAGAAAACAGGGCCCATCCACAGCTGGTGTCGGCATGAATGAGGGTGCTCCACAGGAGCTGGGTCCTCACGCCCCAGCTCTGCAAGGGAAGGAGAGAGGAAGACAGAAGATGGCGAGCCCAAGGCTGCTGCTCCGGGCCCATCTCGGTGCCCAGCTCTGGGCTGGAACCACCTACCTTTGTGGTAATTCCTTAGTCATTAGGATCAAGCCCAGTTAGGAAGGACCAGGGTACCTGCAACTACCATGCAGCCCGCATCTCTGAGTCTTCCCCCACCTCCTCGGAAAGATTTATGGAAAGATTAAGGGGCCTTTTTTTCAATATCTATTAATATTCATGGCAGTCTTCACAGCCATCTGCTTTTAACGATTTTGTTTGCAAAGACCTGAGATTAAAATATGGCCTGCTAGTGCTCTGAAGCATCTGAACTGAAGGCGGTAAAACAAAGGCCTTTTCAGGAGCTCCTGAGCCCGCCTGTCACTCTACCTGCAGCGGGGGAGACTAATGACTAGTGGGAGGGAGGTGAGATTGGATCCAGGGGCCAGTGCTTCCCTCGGGCAGGCGGGGTTAATAGGGGGGGAATGAACAGCCCCGACTCCCTCCTCACTGCCACGCAGAGGGGCTCTGGGAACAAGGAGGCTTAGCTAGGGCAGGAGGGAGATGCTGCTGGCATCACAGGGGACACTCAGAGCTTTGAGGGCTCTGAAACCTTGGGATCAGCACTCTGGAGAGAAGGCTGTCAGCACCGGGCATACCCAGGGGTCCAGAGAGGGCAGAAGGATCCCCTTACTGTGATGCTGTGACCCAAACCCCACCAGTATGGGTTTTAAATGAGATCTAAGAAGAAAGAAAAATACATCATCTAAATGAATGAGTTTGCCCAGTTCAAAAGCATGTGGGCCGGGTGCAGTGGCTCCCACCTGTAATCCCAGCATTTTGGGAGGCTGAGGTGGGTAGACCACTTGAGGTCACAAGTTTGAGACCAGCCTGGCCAACATGTCAAAACCCCATCTCTACTAAAAATACAAAAATTAGTTGGGCATGGTCCCGCACACCTGTAATCCCAGCTACTCAGAAGGCTGAGGCAGAAGAATTTCTTGAACCCTAGAGGCCAAGGCTGCAGTGAGCCAAGATCACACCACTGCACACCAGGCTGGGCAATAGAGCAAACTCCATCTCAAAACACACACACACACACAAAACACACAGACAAGCATGTGCACAGGTGACACTTTGACACAGGGGCCGGAGGGAAGAGGTAGTCCCAGAAGATTCTTAACATATAGGCTCCCAGGGCCAAAGAGGGCATCAGTGCAATGCCAGCTAAAGCCCCATGACTCTGTCCAAACTTCTAAAGGCAGTCACCTCAATATAGCTCTGCCTTGTGTGGAATCCCCTGCTTAGTCACCAATATCTAGGGAATTCCAAGCTGGTGTCCATCACTGGGCACCATCCAGGTGAGGAGTTTTCAGTGAATCTCTAGGAAGTGGCTTGGGGACAAGATCAGGACAACCAGTGGGCCAGGGACAGCCTGTGTGGCTGGACTGATGGTGCCTTACACAACTGCAGGGGACGTAGCTCCTAGCCGCCAAGGCTGTCCTGAGCAAGCCTGCCCGCCTCCCGCCTCCCACCTCCCACCTGCAGCAGCCCCAGGACTTTCTGCTTTATGTGGGGAGGAGGCTCATTTGACTGAAGGCTCCTGCTGCTTTGGAATGTTTGCAAACCAGCGGAATTCCATTCACTCCTCCCGTCGTACCAACTCCTCTCCCCTCTGGCTCCATTCGAGGTTGCACATTTCCAAAACATCCCAGCAGTGCAAATGCCTGCTTCCTGGAGCAGGCAAGTGGACAAAGATGATGGAATTCCATGTGCCTGCCCTAGCGTCCTCCTCCTGCCAACAGGGTCACCTCTTAGTCCAAGCCTCAAACTTCCTGTCCCGGTCTCCTGCCTTCCAGGGTAGAGTCACCAATCTTCTCTACCTGCCTGCCTCCGTGGGTCAAGAGCTGACCACAAATACCAGGAAACACCACATGCTGCTTCTCCTGGGAAAGGGAGAACTTGAGGACAGGATCTCCCCAGAAAGCTTGGGATATTCTTGCTTTATTCTGGCTCCCTCCCTGCTCATTGCATCTCCTTGTGACTTTAGAGTCAGGCAGCCTTTTCAAGACATGGTGGACCCCCACTGCCATGGGTCTGCATGGCCTACAAACATCCATGCAGTCTTCCGCCAGGCTTCTAAGGTCCGGAGGGAGGGAGAGTGGTGGCCAGTCAAACCCCCACAAGCCTTCAAAGGGGTTGCCCATGCTTTGCCCATGGTAGTATTTCACTTCTTTAGTCAAATCCAATTAGACTCCAGTGGGACCCATCAGGGCCTCTCCCCAGAGAACCCTGGTTGCTCAGTCCAGGCTATGGCAAGCTGAGAAGGGATGGCTATTTTCCTCATAAGCCAGCCAGCCTCCAGTAGAGAAAAAGAGCAAAAAACGCATGATAAGAAAACCAGAGGTTGAGCCAGGCGTAGTCACTCACACCTGTAATCCCAGCACTTTGGGAGGCCAAGGCGGGAGGATCACGAGGTCAGGAGTTCGAGACCAGCCTGGCCAGTATGGTGAAACCCCATCTCTACTAAAAATACAAGAATTAGCCAGGCGTGGTGGTACACGCCTGTAGTCCTGGCTACTTGGGAGGCTGAGGCAGGAGAATCACTTGAATCCAGAAGGCGGAGGTTTCAGTGAGCCGAGATTGTGCCACTGCACTCCAGCCTGAGTGACAGAGCAAGGCTCCGTCTCAAAAAAATAATAATAAATAAATTTTTAAAAAAACAAAAACAAAAACAGGAGTTGACAGGTCCCCCAGGCTGGCCAGTCATGCGACTAACAGCTCCTGAAGGCCAACAGCTCCTCCCACCTGCCCCCTGCTTCTCCACAGCTCCCCCATCTGATGGGGGTCCTCAATAGACTGCAGCCCTTCAGCAGCACCCAGCTCCTCGAAGGAAACTCCACCCACTAAGACCCTCTTGCAAACTTCGTGGAGCCTCCCCGTATCTCCCTGCCCCTGCTGGAGCCACTTTCTGTTACTCTCCCTTAACACCAAGACCAAGGCCTCCAAATACCCACACCTTCCTGGCCTTGCCCATCCAGGTCTCACTCTCTGAGCTCTAGGCAGTCAAGACGGGTTCTAAGCACATCCTGAGCTTCTTCCTGGGCCCAGGCTATGCCCCGTGCCTGGGATGTTCGCCTTCTCTGTCCCCCAGAGGCCTGGCTCAGTCTACACACACTGTCCCTTCCAAGCAAGTGGGGTTCCACCTCTCCCTCGCTCAGTGCCTATGGACCATGGCATCACCTTCCAGACAGTGTCTGTCCTCCAGGCACTTCCACTGTAACAGGAGGGCTAGGGCCAGGAGTGAGTGGCACACAGACACAGATAACCTCCCCCACTCAGGTTTGAATCCCCTGCCACGCCTGGCTCTGTGCCTGGCACTTAATAGACTGTTATCCCAAAACTGCTTTTTGGTTTGAAATGAGCTCATTGCCACGTGGGGACACTTGTATCACACACTGATGTTACTGTTTAACCCTCAGGAAGATCCTAGAGCAATATCATTAAATGGGCTCTTGGAGAGCGAGCTCAGTTCTCCCATTTTACAGCTGGGAAGACTGAGACCAGAACCAGATACCAGGCTCCTGCCCCACAGGACTAAGGCTGTCGCCCCCCCTGCTGCTCTACCTGGGAGGTACTCCCTTCATATCACAGAGGAGCACACACCTGCCCCCGGCTCCTCCACGGCTCCCCCAACCTGATGGGGGTCCTCAGCAAACCGCAGCCCTTCAGCAGCCCCCAGCTCCTCAAGGGAAGCTCCACCCTCTCAATGAAAACCAAGGTCTCTCACTACTAAGGTATAACCTGCCTACCTTTCCAGAACCTTCTCCCACCCAGTTCTCCTCCTGACACTTCACACTGTCCTCCAGACACACCAGATGTCCACCACAAATGGGATGTGAATGCACCACTATGCCTGGAAGTCTTTCCACAGGTGTTTTTTCTGCCTGGGATATGTGTTCCTTTTCCTCCAACCTTCAACCCTGCAAACTCAAATACCACCTCTTCCATGAAGCCTTCTAGTAATGCCAGGCCACTTCTCCTCAATCAGAGTCAGCCACTCTGCACACCTCTAAATGACAGCTAGCATTTGGGAAACACTTTATCTGTGTAACTTCATTTACCTCATCTTGTACTTCCTCCTGTCCAGGATGCCCTGTTATTACCCCCATTTTACAGGTGAAGACATTCCAGCACAGAGAGGTTGAATGACTTGCCCCAGGTCACACAGCTACAACAAGATAGCGCCAGGATTCAAACCCAGGAAGCCCCGGCCACAGCCTGTGCATCTTGTTCCCTCCACCACATAGTTCCCATGGCACATGACACCTGTGCAGTATGACATAAGGAAAAAGAGAAAATGAGCTACTGTCTGCCTGCATGTCTCCCCCGCTGCCCCGCTACCCTGAGAGGACCCTCTTGAAAGCCTGTGTCCCTGGCACCAACTGGGGATATGGGAAGAGTTCTGAACCATCCAATGAAGGAAGTAGTACACCTGTGAGAGAGAGAGAGAGAGAGAGAGAGTGTGTGTGTGTGTGTGTGTGTGTGTGTGTGTCAGAGGACTGTGTGAGAGGGTTATGAGAAAGAGTACCCATAACCACGTGTGGTGTGTGAAGAGGTCTGGGAGCAGATCCGAGTGCTTGTGTGTGTGTGTGTGTGTGTGTGTGTGTGCACGCACGCGCACATGTGTGTGTGTGTGTGTGTGTGTGCATGCACCCTCGGGCCCGCTCCAGCCCAGATCCCCAGCGGGAGGGTAGAGGCCCCATCTCAGCCGCATGAATAGTTAAAGCCCTTAAACCGCGCCGCTTCATCACTGATATTTTTACAAAGTTGTCACAGAGAAATATCATTTTTCTCCCTCCTTTATTTCATTTTCTTTGGGATATAGTAATTAACAAAAGCTGTTAGATGCCAGCAAAACTGTTTCTTTTGAAGTTTCTACATGGCTGTCACCCGGGAGATAAAGGCAGATTATTCAATCTTGACATTATAATTGTGGATGCCAGATGAAAGCCTGGATTAGACACTTCACAGCCCACTCGGAGGGGAGGCTGAGATCACCAGGAGGCGATCCTCCCTCGGCTGGGAGGGCAGGGGAGCTGGGTGGGGGGCAGGGGGCACCCCACGCCAGGGAGGGGGCAGCTCATTGCATGGCTTGGCTTCTTTCATTTGAGTTGGATGGTGGCCAAATCACAAGTGTTAGATGGAAGGAACATATTTCATACGGAGGTGGAACAATCTAGAAGTCAGGAGCAGAACCCCCGAGCCTGGTCTATTAGCTCCCGTACCCTAAGGCAGCCTCCCCCACCAGCTCGCACTCCCTCCTTGATTGTCAGGGACTTCTTGGCTCCCTGACTGCAGGCCAAGTCCCTCAAATGCAGAGAGGGGAACACAGAGAGGGGCCGGATCCCCTGAGGGCGTGTGCCCTGGGTGCCGGTGCTGACTCAACTCCCTCACTGTGGCGTGGAGAAGGCTGGAGAGGTCAGGGGAGGGAGAAAGTCATTTGCCTACATGGAGCTCACCCAATCCCCCTTCATAAAAGAAGTCGCCAGGCCAAGCACAATGGCTCACACCTGTAACCCCACCTCCCCTTTGGGAGGCCCAGGCAGGCGGATCACTTGAACACAGGAGTTCGAGACCAGCCAGGGTAACATCGTGAGACCTTATTTCTACAAAAATACAAAAATACAAAAAAAAATTAAGCATTGTGGTGTGCCTGTGGTCCCAGCGACTTGGGAGGCTCAGGTGGGAAGATTGCTTGAACCCAGGAGGTTGACGCTGCAAGGAGCTGTGATCCTGTCACTACACTCTAGCATGGGGTGGCAAAGTGAGGCCATGTCCAAAAAAATTTTTAAAACCACCAACCAGGGAGAGGGTGACCAGGGGAAGGGCCAGAAGAAGCCCCAGCAATAGAGAATGAGAAGCCACTTTTTAGTGGAGGCAGAAGGGCCAGATTCAGATGCCCTGGAGAGTATATAAGACTAGAAGCTTCTGCAGTGACTGCTAGCATCTGACTTCCCAGGTTCACCCTGAACCACATTACAGCTTGGAATCTTCATACCCTATCCAGCCACCCACAGACAAGATTTTTGCTCTTTATTGTGCTCATTCATGATAATGTCTGTTAATAAAATTATGAAATGTATCAGGATCCAACCAGGAACCCATAAACCATGGGAGGTATTTAAAACAGAGGAAATTTCACATGAGGACTAAAGATGCAGGTGAGGAGAAACCAGCAAGGCAACCCAGAGATCAGCGCTAGCTCCAGCCAGGAGCTGAGGAGGGAGAGAGGGAAGGAGAGACGGAGGGAGGTGGTGTTGGTGACAAAGCCCAGGAGCCAGGATGACCCGGCCACCCTGGAACCTCAGTAGGTCACAGAGAGACATGACCAGCCCCTGTGAGCTGAACAGAGGATGTGGAAGAAGGGGGTCTAAGGACAAACCAAGCAAGGGCTGCTCCCCCCATCAACATTTTGAAATCCCAAGCTGGATTTCCAGTTTCTCTGCAAAGAGCAACATCAGGCCTGCTTTCTCTTATGACCACAAGCATCCGAATGGGATAGAGGCGCTCTCCTTGAGATAGTGCACGCTCCTCTTTGGTTTTTCCCAGTCCCACCGGGTCTGCCTTATTCATTGATGGTGCCTATGAGCATCTGAATCTGCAACACCTGGTTTCTCAGTGTACCCATTTTGTAGAGAGAGAAACAGAGTCCCAACCAAGGGGAAGTGATTTACCCAAGGTGACAGGACGGGTCAGGAGCAGAGGCAAGATCAGAACTTAGAGCCTTGGACTATTAAAGCGCAGAATTGATTTGCAAAGTTGGAAAGCATCTGTGGAGTGACTGCGTCTGTCAGCAGAGAACGACTTGCTGCCCTTGCTGTGGCCGGGCTGTGGAGCAGGCTGGAGACTGGAACCTGCTAGACCAGCAGTGCCACTGCCCCTGTGTGCCCTGGCCATCAGCCTTGCCATGAGGGCCAGCAGTGATCACGAGGACAGGGCTCAGGCAGGAGAGCCTGTTCTGAGGCTGGCGTGGCCACTCAGGAGCTGTGTGATCACAGAATTCCTCTCTGTGCTCCATAACGCAAGGCGGTCAGGCCGGACGCCCTCCTGGAGCCTTCTCCACTCCACCAAGCTGCAATTCTATTTCCCAGGGAGAGGTGGGAGGAAACCATCCCCCCACAGAAGCCAGCTGAGTGCATGAGGGTTCTTAGAAAGGAAGGTCGAGGGGGAGACCCTGGGAAACATAAATCTGCCTGCGCGGCTCTCTCAGAAAGGGTTTTAATTAATTGTTTTTATACGACATAAGAGCAACTCATTACTGAACAGCTTTGATTTGTGACACCTGCATTATAGATGATTTTTAAATTAACATTTCCCCAATAAAAAGTGTCAGTAGAGAGCTGAAGGCGCCCAGAGAAGTATAAAAGGATAATAGTATGAAAATACAAATAAACACCAGCCCAGCCTAACAAAGGGGGCTGCTTAATCAATTTTACAATTAATTAAGGCAGCCTGGGATGGCTGGAGCCCCAGAGGCAATTCAAGGTACCGGGTTGAGGCTCAGGCATCAAATGATAGGACAAGGGAAAGTGATTGGGGCTTGAGAGAGAAATGCAGTGAGAATGTGAGACGCTCTGCCAGGCTTCCCTGGAAGGGGAGAGAAGCAGGAGGCAAATCTGTCCCCGTGAGTACCACCCTTCCTCCCTTCGTTGTCCTGGGCTTGTCATTCACACATTCAGTAAGTGTTTAGAGAGCTCCTACAACCTAGGGCAGGCAGAGCAGAGGCACCCAGGTGAGAGGGAGGAGCGGCACCCTGGAGACGCTGAGAGCCGTGTGTGTCTGACGCAGAATGAAGGGCAGAGGAGGAGAGGCAACTGGCAGGGTAGGCCGGGGCTAGCCTATCACGGACTCCAGAAAGGGTCATACAGCACTGGGAGTTGTTTTCAGATGCGTTTGCAGACTTTGGGTAAAAGAACCACATGAGAAGTTTGCCATTTTAGACAGAGGCTTCTGGCTGCCATGTGGATCATACAATGGAAGAGCAGAGGGAGGAGAGAGAAGTGACCCAGGCAAGACCTGCTCACAGATCCAGTGCAGAGAGCAGTGGCGGAATGGAAGGAAGAGACCCAAGAGAGGCACAGGAGCTACAGCCCACACATGGGCGCTGCTGCGTGCCTAGTGCGGGAGAAGGGAAGGGGAACTGAAAATAACTCAAGCCAAGGACAGGGCTGGAGAAGCAACTGTGAACAACACACAGAGCAGGTCCCTGCCCTCAGGGGTTTTACATGGTCAGGAGAAACAGGAAAAAAGACCCACAAAGGAATGAGCAAAGGACCTGGTAGCTCATGACTGTAATCCTAGCACCTTTGGAGGCCAAGGCAGAATTGTTTGAGCCCAGAAGTTCAAGACTAGCCTCGGCAACCAGCCCTGAGTGAGACCATGTCTTTAAAAAAAAAAGAAAAAAGAAATTAGCTGGGTGTGGTGGTGCACACCTATAGAATCTCAATTATCCAGGAGGCTGAGATGGGAGGATCACTTGAGCCCAGGAGTTCAAAGCTGCAGTGAGCTGTGATTGTGTCACTGCACTGTAGCCTGGGCAACAGAGCAAGATCCTGTCTCTAAAACAGAAAAAGGAAGAAAGAAAGAGAGGGAGGAAGGGGAGGAGGAGAAGGTGGAAGGAGAGGGAGGAGGAGGAGAAGAAAGAAGGAAGGGAAGGAGAAAGGGAGGGAGGGAAGGAAGGAAAGGAAAGAAAGGAAGGAAGGGAGGGAGGGAGGGAGGGAGGGAGGGAGGGGAGGAGGAGAAGGACGGAGGGGGGCAGGGGAAGGGAGGGAAGGAGGGGGAGGGGAGGAAGAGAAGGAGGGAGGGAAGGGGAAGGGAGGGAGAGGGAAGGAGAAGGAGAAGGACGGAGGGGGGTGGGAGGGAGGGAGGAAGGGAGGGAGGGAGGGGGAGGAAGAGGAGAAGTGGGGGAGGGAGGGAGGGAGGGAGGGAGGGAGGGGAGGAAGAGGAGAAGTGGGGGAGGGAAGAAGGAAAGAAGGTAGGCAGGCAGGCAAGAAGACAAGAAAGTCAAATCAGTTGCTGTGGCTGAAACAGCTGAGAGCAGCACAGTTTGGGACAAAACAGACAGTGATCAGGGAAGGTGACATTTGACCTGAAAGCTAAGGAGCCAGCCAAGACAACATCTGGGTAAGGGGTGGTCCGGGAATTCATGCAACAGGTGCTAAGGCCCTGTGGCTGGGATGAGTAGGAGGAGGCACCAGAACAACTCTCATCCTCTTCCATTTCTACTACACTCTCTCTTCGTTTTATCTTTCTTTTCCTCTGGTTGACCAAGAGGGGTTATATAATTGGTGCATAATTGGTATATAACTTGAGGACAGGTCTTGTCTGCAGGTAGAGGCCGTGGAGCATTGAGAAGAGTTTCAGTGCTCCATTGCCAGGCCCTCTCTGAAAGACCTGAGCCTTCCAGAGGAGCCGTCTCCACCTCTACATCACCAACTTCCTATCTTGATCACTACCTACCCCAGACCTCTCTCCTAAACTCCAGATCCACCTGGGGGTCCCGCAGGCAATCGTCTTCCTCCCAAAGTCCATTTATTCCTCTGTGTTTCCAAACCTAATTAAAGACGCCACCATCCTACCAGACACTCAAAAGGGAGACCTACGAACAGTCATCAAGCTCCCTTTCCCCATATCCAAGTCCTGTGGGCTCTTCCTCCTTAGAGCTCTTAAAGTGATCTCAGCCCATTGCATGCCATTCTGATGGTTCTAGCTTTCCACATGTCTTACCCGGGTGACCTCAGCAGTTTCCACTCTCCTCCCATCCGTGTACCCTGGACACAGCAGCCAGAGGAGTCCTTCTAAAGTGAAAACCTGTTCTGCTGTACAGCTGCCAGAAAAGCTTTGAGGGGGCTGCTCTTGCCCTCCAGCTAAAGTTCAAACACTATCGTCATACTTTGGGGGGGCCTCTAGAGTCTAGCCCCTGCCTACCCCCTCAGAGTACTACATTGCCCACCACCATGCTTTGGTATCGAGACACAAGCATCTCCCTACGGCTTTCCCGCCTGTTTCTTTTCCCTCTGCTTGAAATATTGTGGGTGCTCTGCCCTATACACTGGCCTTCACCATTGTCTGGCCACCTTCAACTCACAGCCCAGGCTGCAGGCTCATCAAATCAAATCGCTTTGCCATTGTTTCCTTCATTGTGCAGTTCCTCCCAGCCTGTAAGCTCCACCAGACCAGGAACTATTTCTGTCTTGTTCAACACATATTCCCAGCACCTATGGACAGACCACGTACACTGAATGGAAAAGGAATGAATGAACGGATGAATCAAATGATGTCACGTACCACAGTATGCCTCACGCATACTGGGAGTTTAGACTAGGGGTCATAGGGCTGATGGTTAATGAGACCAGCAAGGACCAGCAACTTTAACTGAGCAGCATACATTTCATTGGCTGGCTCATGTCCTCACATGTTCACTAAGATCACTAGGAAGATCAGAGTGAACCTAAGAAGATCACTCTGCCAAGACGGTCATGATCCATCATTTGCTTGGTGATGGGAGGAGGGGACCGAGCTCCACTTGAAACAGCATTTCCTACTTCCAAGAAGCCAGGGGGCAATGTGAGGCCAGTAGAATGTCTACACAGTCTGTGGACCAGCT